CAACCAGGACTACCTCTCGGGAATGGCGGCCAACATGTCGGGACGTTCGGAGGAGCCAACATGCCAAACTTGTACCCTGGGGCCCCAGGGGCCGGTTACCCTTCAATCCCCCCTGGGGGTTTTGGGCAGCCCCCTTCCACCCAGCAGCCTGTTCCTCCATATGGAATGTACCCGCCTCCTGGTGGAAACCCACCCTCTGGAATGCCTTCATACTCACCATACCCAGGGGCCCCTGTGCCAGGCCAGCCCATGCCACCTCCTGGACAGCAGCCGCCAGGGGTCTACCCTGGGCAGCCACCAATGACCTACCCTGGGCAGCCCTCAATGCCACCTCCTGGGCAGCAGCAACGCCGGTGCCAAGTTACCCAGGATATCAAGGGTCCGGGAACGTCACCCCCGCTGTGGCCCCATCCCAGTTTGGAACATGAGGCACCATCACAGATACTCCTGGCTTTGACCCCTTGCGAGATGCTGAGGTCCTGCGGAAGGCCATGAAAGGCTTTGGGACTGACAAGCAGGCTATCATCGACTGCCTAGGGAGTCGTTCCAACAAGCAGCGGCAGCAGATCCTTCTGTCCTTCAAGACAGCTTATGGGAAGGATTTGATCAAAGATCTGAAATCTGAACTGTCAGGAAACTTTGAGAAGACAATCTTGGCTATGATGAAGACCCCAATCCTCTTTGACATTTATGAGATAAAGGAAGCCATCAAGGGGGCTGGCACCGACGAAGCCTGCCTGATTGAGATTTTTGCCTCCCGCAGCAACGAACACATCCGGGACTTGAGCAGAGCTTACAAAACAGAATTCAAAAAGACCCTGGAGGAGGCCATTCGAAGCGACACGTCAGGGCACTTCCGGCGGCTCCTCATCTCTCTTTCCCAGGGAAACAGGGATGAAAGCACAAATGTGGACATTGTCGCTCGTCCAGAGAGATGTCCAGGAGCTGTACGCAGCTGGGGAGAACCGCCTGGGAACAGATGAGTCCAAGTTCAATGCAGTCCTGTGCTCCGGGAGCCGGGCCCACCTGGTGGCAGTTTTCAATGAGTATCAGCGAATGACAGGTCGAGACATTGAGAAGAGCATCTGCCGGGAGATGTCTGGGGACCTGGAGCAGGGCATGCTGGCCGTGGTGAAATGTCTCAAGAATACCCCTGCCTTCTTTGCTGAAAGACTCAACAAAGCCATGAGGGGAGCAGGAACGAAGGACCTGCCCCTGATTCGCATCATGGTGTCTCACAGTGAGATTGACCTCCTGGACATCAGAATGGAGTATAAGCGGTTGTATGGCAAGTCGCTGTATCAAGACATCACGGGAGACACTTCTGGGGATTACCGGAAGATTCTGCTGAAGATCTGCGGTGGCAATGACTGAGCAGTGACTGGTGGCCCACTTCTGTCCCGCTGCCAGCAATGATGATGCCAGGAAAAGGCCAAAAGAATGTCTGTCTGTTTCTATCAAACCCACAAAATAGCCTCCGGGTACCCCAGTCCCCACAATCCATAGAGTCTTGGCCCTGCCCTCCACCTTCCCCTCCCAGTTGTATATTGCGCTTGTGCCAAGGGGCTTGGGTTGGGCTGGAACTCTCTCAGGATGTATTTTACACCCCACCCCTCACAGCCCAGTTGCTGCTAAAGTAGATGTTTCAGTTTCCTGACCCAGGCCATCATTCCCCTTTGTTTGTAGCTGAGACACTCGGCTACGTTTTAGTCATGTAATTTTATGTTTATTGGGAGGCATTTTTTTTTTAACAGTCATTGCCAGACACATGCATACACATCTCTTTGCTGCCACACACATTTTGATGAGAGAGGTTGGGTGGGGAACACCGTGTCCTCACTGAGGAGTAAAAGGGAAGACCTTTAAGAGTAATCTTTGCATCTGGTGAGAATGTGTCATGAGCTTTGTTATTGCCAAACACACTGCTTTTTAGAAAAGAAAAAAAAAAAAAGGCCAGGAAGTCATCTGTTTCTTCTTCCTTGTAAAAATCATGAGCATAAACCCAGCTCCCTGCCAGTGACAGGGCTTCTTGTAATTGAGAATGTGCCTTAAACCTGAATGTTGATAGCCAAAAGCTTTTTCTAAATTAAAGTCAGCCAGCTCTGGAACATTCTGAAAAAAAAAAGAGTTGGGTTGAAGTCTCCAGCCCAGCTAGAAGCCTGGGAAGGAGGGAACTGATGTAGGAACCTGTACAGAGGGAAGAGTCGTTCTAGCAAGACATACTGGGTGATCCCTCTCCCAGACTACCTTCCTTGCGATAGATCCCACAAACCCTCTGGGACTGCACATAAGGGGTAACATCACTCCAGAGCAAGTATGGGGGCAAAGCCTAGAATTCTGTTTCCCAGCAGCTGAGATCTCAACCTCAGTGGACCACGGCCTGGTTTGTACTATATTCCTCTGCCAGGACTTTAATCAAAATCTCTTTACATTTCTACTTCATTGGCTGCCCTTTTCCTTAAATGGGATTGTAAGAGCACCAGCTACTCAGGCTTCCTGGAGAACTGGGTAGCCTGGAGGACTGAAAAGTTACCAAAATATGGCAAAAACCTTGGCAAGCATGTAAGCTCTCTGTGAATTGTGAAGGCAACACCATTGAGGACAGAGCCATGTGCTCCCAAGTGCTCCACCAATTCAGCACTCTCTGTGCTGGGAGCAACTGTGTCCTCCCAGAGAGCAGATTTGGGCAAGACAAAGGATACAGGAGTTCCTTCCTACTTCCACCCCAACATCCTCAGTTTATCAGGGGCACGGGGCAGGATCTTCCTTCGACTGCCTGTGGAGGCAGTTTACAATGGAAGGATCCCAAGGCCAAATCAGGTATCAGTGGGAAGTTAGTCCAAATGCACCGAGCCAAAAAAAAAAAAAAGTGGGGGAGACAGGCAGAGATGAAGAGGTAGGTCAGGGAGGCCCAGGTACCAAGTAAACAAAGCTGGTGATGGAAGCAAAAGCAAGTAGGTGTACCAGTAGGACAAAGCTGGCACTCATCCAGGGGCAGGTTTGGCCCTGAGTTCAGGGCAAGTCTAAACTAAGGCCAGTCTCAAAATTCCTAAAGTGTTAGGGTGGGGTCTAAAGATGAAAGTCCCCAAATGATACGTTATCTGTGGAAAATAGTACCAACCTTCAGATGAAAGCTGAAGATGGCAGGTGGTGAATCTACATGATTGCAAAAACAATCTTAACTTGTCCCAACAAAGATACAGGCATAACTCAAGAGGTGTTACTTACAGGTTCGGAATAAAGTGGGTATCACAATAAAGCAAGTCATAAATTCTTTTTGCTTGTGGAAGGTCCTGCCTTCAATTAGTAAAAAAATGTAACATCTGTGAAATTCAATAGAGTGAAACAATAAAATGAGTTATGACTATACTGATGATCCAAAGTGAATAGAGCCAAGGCTCTAGATAATAGCCAAGTGGCTGGACTAAGCAGCAACAGAAATGGTAAGAGTAAATCCTTACAGAAGTCCCTGACTGCCAGCCATACATGGACTTTGACTGCAGATAGAGTTCGCTCAATCCTAAGAACTCCATCTATACTTAGGTGGGAGAGAGATTTGAATCCTAGTGCTTGGGCCCTTTACACACCATGAATGGCACCATTAGAATTTCTGGAAAGCATCATTAGAACCATGCAAGTTCCACCAGGCCAAACTAACGGGGAAGCTAGAGACAAACATACTATTATTTAGAGTCCTCCATCTATCTTCCCCTCCTCCGTGTACCTTGTTTTTCCCAAACTCACCAAACAAATGAACTAATTCATTTCCCTGTCACTGAAGTTGAACATCTTCTCATGTTTGTTGACAATTTACATTTCCTCCTTGGTGAATTATTCACTTATACTGTTTTTCTTAGTTTTCATTGGGCTATTTGTCATTTTCTTATTAATTGGTACTAACTCTGTTATATGTGTTGCAAATATTTTTTATTGTCTTTGAATTTTACTTATAATCTTTCATTTTTATGTAGTTAAGTCTATTAATCTTTTCCTTTGTGACTTCTGGATATTCTATCTTGCTTGCAAAAGTCTCCCAAGGGTATAAAAATATCCCCTTGCCATTCTTCATTTGTCATACTAACAAAAATTAAAAATAGTAATAACACTCAGCATTGGGAAATGATATTCTCATACCCTATGGGTAAGAATGTGAATTTTCACAGCCATTTGTAAAGTAACATGGCTGTAACTACAAACATGTAAAAATGCACATATCCATTGTCTCAGCAATCCCACTTTGAAACATCGACACATTCACACACTGGTTCACAAAAGTGTGTGTACTGAGGAATAGAATGAAGAAATAAAATGGAGTCACTATAGTCAAGCTGATAAATGACTAAAATCAAGTAGGTTAAGGTATGAGAAAATGATTCTATTCTTGTTTTAACCTGGGAACTTAAATTTTTGAATTTTCCAGTTCCGTGTCAATGCCTACATATACATCAAACCTCCAGGTAACCTTCCTATTACCCACTGAAGGACTAAGGAAAGAATGTTCACATGTACAGACCACCTGACATCTATTATTGAGACCACTGACCATCCAGAGGCTAAGAATGCCTAACTGACTCTTCTCAAGAATGTATTCTTCACTTTAAGGACGTTCGATCAGCTTTTCTTTCTTCTTTAGAACACTCTGTGTATTGCCTAGTTATGTTTCTGGTTTGCAAACCCTAGTCCCTTGAATAAATCTTTATCATTTATTTCTAGCCAAAACCTCCAGACTCTGTTTGAGTTCATTCGAAGTACAAAGATGTTAGGTTCATCAGCAATTGTGTATGAGCGAAAACGAGAAACCACCTGAATTTCAACCAGTAAGGCAACGGCTGAATGAATTGGATGGCAGAATTTTACTGTTACTAAAAAGAATGATTTTGCAGAATAATGTGAATGTACTTAATGCCACAGAACCATGAACTTAAAAATGGTTTAAGTGGTAAATCTTATGTTTATTTTACCACAATAAAAAAAGAAAAAAGAATGATTTATATTTCTACATAGTGTCCTGGAGAAATGGCCATGAAAATTGTTTAAAGAAAAATCCACATTTCAGGTAAAATATGTATGCATGTTCATAGAAAAAGTATGAAAGAATACAAACCAAATTTCATCATTAATTACCTCAGGGGATGTATTTATTGTTTGACTTGTAACACGGAGCACGCATTTAGAGCTCAGACCCAGGCTCAAGTCCCAGCTCCACGACTGATGTGATGTGTGACCTGGGCAAATTACATGTTAGTTTCTTCATTTGTAAAACAGGAAAAGAAATAGTACCTCTCATTAGAATTGTTGTGAAGTACAAATATTAGAACAGTGCCTGTCACAATAAATTATATTGACGTCATTATATTGTCTCCTTCAGTGTCCTCTTCATTGTATCTTCTTCATTCTTCCATCCCTCACTACTTTACTGGGATTGTCAAAAGATTTGATTAAGTAGCAGGAGAGAAAAACAGAAACAAAAACAAATTACAAGAAGCCTACAATTGAGGGGATTCTCATAGTACCTGACTCAGATCCCACTCGAGTTAGCTTGCTTCTGAGGCCATTTGAGAGGTCACAATTTTAGAGACATCTGGGCTAGATTTCTTTCTTTTGGCCTGTCATCACATACAAGGTACTCTTAAGACTCACAGCTTAGGAGCTTTCTCCATACCTTCACTATTGCTCTTTGAATACCTAATATCACCTTCCTCTTTTCTCCTGCAAAATTAACAGCTTCTTGTAGTGCAAATGCTTCCTTATTTACTAAATAGAATTCTCTCCTTGATGGCTGACTGATAAGACCTAGAGTTGTTTTATTTGCTGTCTGAGTCACAAATACTGGTTTATCCCAACCTACCTCTTTCATAGGACAACTGCCACATTAATGGTCTTTGGGCTGAGAAATCTGGAGCCTTTAGTCAGTGATTAGATTTTTCCTATGTGCTTTATAATATTTCACATTCAACAAATCTCATTATGTTAAATATGAAATAAACCAGTAACTTCTCCTGGTTTATTTTACCCTACGGGCACTAGTATATGGAATCAGAAATCTCATTCCTTTCAGAACAGGATGGTGATAAGCTTCCCTGTTAGTAAAGAGCTCTCAATTTTATTAATTATGCTTGTGACTGAAACAAAGCAGTAGCTTTTTATTGATTTTACATGATCCCCAGGGTTTCTCATTTCCCCACTTCCTTCTGCCATCCCTTATATTTTATTCATTCTTTCCTCTTGTCTCCTTCCCTTTCTCCCTCTCCTCAAACATTCTTAAGCACCTTCTGTGTGTCAGGCACTCAGCAACAAAGGTTGAGCAAAACAGACCATCTTCTCATTGTCATGGAGTTTACAAACTTAATGGGAGTTGATACTTCATTAAGGAATCACCAAATCTAATTTCAAACAGCACTTAGTGCCACATTGGAAAACACAGGATCCTGTAAGAAATCTATGCTGGTGAAGGCTTCATCCAGGAAGTGGCAGCTGAGCTGGGGTAGGAAGGATGAGGACTTGTTAGCCAGCCATTTCCCCCCATTTAGAGCTCCAGGTGGGCAGAGACCAGGACTGTCATAGCACCAGTCCCTGCTCTGCCTGACTGGAGGGGCTCATAAATATTGGTGAGAGAAAGGGACAATGTGAAAAACAGAAAACCAATGAAATAATTTGATACTAATCAATTAATAAATTTGACTGTTCCTAATTAAAAGAAATCCAAAGTAGGGCCGGCCGAGTGGCGCGATGGTTAAGAGCTAGCTTGGGACGCCAGAGGGCCCCGGTTCGGATCCCACATATGAGGGCCAGTGACACTGCCCTCTACAGCTAAGATGCTGAACAACAGCTCAACCTGGAGCTGGGCTGCCATGAGTCGCCAGCGACGCGTAGGCTGCAGCCCCTGTGGCAGTGGGTTGCCATGGGCTACCGTGTGTAGCCAGCAGCCAACGTGAGCGGCCAGCAGCCGCTGTGAGCGGCCGTCCAGAAGCCGGCAACTGATGTGCCTCACCTGGGAAGAGCGCAACGATGGTGCCAACTTGGTCCAGTGAAGCAACGTCCTCCACAGCTAGACTGAAGAACAAAACGACAGCAACTTGTCTGTTCCCCTTCCCCCAATTCCCCAGCACTGTTCCCATACTCCAATCCCCAATAAAAAAAAAAAAACTTAAAAAAAAAAAAAAAGAAATCCAAAGTAGAAGACAGAAAGAAGGTGAAAGTGGCACAAATGAGGCTGAAGAATTAGCACCCAAATCACACTCAGGCCTTTCACAGTATGTAGGGATTGTGGCCTTTATCCTACCAATTGGCCACTGAAGGATTATATATTACAGCTATTTTTAAAATACCTATTATGTGCTAGATACTGTGCTAAAGAGTTTACTTGCATGAGTTCATTTAATCCTTGAAGCAATTATATGATACTATTATTATTCCAATTTTATAGAATGAGGACACTGAGGTGTAGAAAGGTTTGATCAACACTCTTAGCAGCAGAGGCTGGACTCCAAAACCCCTACTCTTAACCACGATATTACACATGCTATAAGAAAGAGAAGTAGGTAAGAAAGTACCAACAGCTGATTCTAATCTCCTTGGCAGGAACAGCCCCAGGTTGAATTGGTAGCATAAGGATATCAAGGTTTAATGAGCTAACCACTGAATTTACGCAATCCCCTTGTTCTGACTCCATTTTAATCAAATAACCTTGTAACTATATTCTGGCTTCCCATATAAATTTTTCTGAGAGATAATGCACTGACCAGCCTACACATGCAATTTGTTCCAGTTGGCAATTGACCATTCATTGAGTTAATAAATTGGCATTCTGCTTTTAAAAAAAAAGTGAAATACACTAAAATAAAAAAAATTTATGAAATAGCCTTAGTTTTCCATGAAATTAGTTTGAAAAATAAAAACCAACAAGTAAAAATCACATATGTATCCTTTTTTTATATTGCCTGATTTGAGTGGCCATGGATAGGGTCATAAAGTCTAGGGAAGGGCCCTTTTCTTCACCTTTCACCTTCACTGTCAAAGACCCCTAGCGCAGCCAAGTGCTTCCATTGTTTCCCAATCCGCAAACTCCTACCTTTCCTTCCGCATACCGCTGAGAGGGTTGTTCTTCAGAATTTACCTAATTCTCTGAGGATAACCAGCATGAGGCTGCTACTGGGGTCTCTCGCATTCATGTCTCCAGGGTAACGTGCATCCTATCCTAGCAGCAGGCTGTTGCCTAATAACATCATTAAACCCGATGTTAATGCGCTCAGGGCCACCATGACAGCAGTCCCTGCTAAACCTTCGCCGAGACCGCAGCCCCTACAGGAGAGGAAGTGACACCCGATCTCCTTCCCACTTGTGGGCTCTTTCCAAACGGGGACTCCATGAAATCGGTTCCTGACTCCCTACTCCTTGTTGGCTCAAGTTTGTTTTCTTTTTCTTCTCTCCCTACAATTCCTTTAATGGGCAAAACTGGGACGAACGTAGGTGGACATTTTAAACTGAAAGCTTCACGAAACGGACCATTTCACCTTGTCAAGAGATCTCCTTAATCAGATATAAGGGCTAAATAGGGCCTCTCCCCAAGAAAAATGAATTCAACAGTTTTTTGAACAGAAAATTGAAATGACACCTAAACATCTTCTGTGTTTCCCCCTCAAACACATAGGAAAAGTCAGCAAGTGCAAGGCCAGCCTTGTGAGAGGCTTCTTTCTTGAATGGAGAAAAGGCCGCAGACGAAGGGTCAACAAAGGGAAGGGCCTCTTTCAGAAACTTGAGCGCTGGGGGTGCGAGGAGGACAGCAATCGTTTAAATAGATGGCAGAACTCTCATTCTGCTTTTCCGCCATTTTCACCAGAGGCTCTAACCAAGAAATTACTAGCAATTAGGTGCCCCCGCCCCCCGAGGATTTCCAGTCGGCAGCAGCGCACAGAGTGGGTATGAATAAGGCGGTGCGAAGAATAGTACGCTGACCAGCCAAGATGGCCACTTTCACATGGCTGAAGGCCACTGGCTCCCTGTCACCCGGGCATCCAAAGGCGGAGGCGGGGGTGG